GATGGGGCAATAGTCTTCCCACTGACACCAAGGATGGGGATCTATTCCTCCCACTGACACCAATGATGGGGTACTATTCCTCTGACTGACACCAATGATGGGGCACTATTCCTCCCACTGACACCAATGATGGAGCACTATTCCTCCCATTGACACCAATGATGGGGTACTATTCCTCCCATTGACACCAATGATGGGGTACTATTCCTCCGACTGACACCAATGATGGGGCACTATTCCTCCCACTGACACCAATGATGGGGCACTATTCCTCCCACTGACACCAATGATGGGGCACTATTCCTCCCATTGACACCAATGATGGGGTACCATTCCTCCGACTGACACCAATGATGGGGCACTATTCCTCCTACTGACACCAATGATGGGGTACTATTCCTCTAACTCATGCCAATGATGGGCCACTGTTCCTCCCACTGACACCAAGGATGTAGCACTATTCCTCCCATTGACACCAATGATGGGACACTAGTCCTCCCACTGATGCCAATGATGTGGCACTGATCCTCCCACTGACACCAATGATGGGGCACTATTCCTCCCTCTAATACAAATGATGGGGCAATAGTCTTCCCACTGACACCAAGGATGGGGATCTATTCCTCCCATTGACACCAATGATGGGACACTATTCCTCCCACTGACACCAAGGATGGGGATCTATTCCTCCCATTGACACCAATGATGGGGCACTATTCCTCCCACTGATGCCAATGATGGGGCGCTATTCCTTCTAGTGACACCAATGATGGGGCACTATTCCTCTCACTCATGCCAATGATGGGCACTGTTCCTCCCACTGACACCAAGGATGGGGTACTATTCCTCCCTCTAATACAAATTATGGGGCAATAGTCCTCCCACTGACACCAAGGATGGGGCTCTATTCCTCCCATTGACACCAATGATGGGACACTATTTCTCCCACTGATGCCAATGATGGGCACTATTCCTCCCACTGATACCAATGATGGGGCACTATTCCTCCTTATGACACCAATGATGGGGCACTATTCCTCCCACTGACACCAGTGATGGGGCACTATTCCTCCCACTGACACCAGTGATGGGGCACTATTCCTTCCACTGACACCAATGATGGGCACTATTCCTCCCACTGACACCAATGATGGGGCACTATTCCTCCCACTAACACCAATGATGGGGCACTATTCCTCCCACTGATACCAATGATGGGGCACTATTCCTCTCACTCATGCCAGTGATGGGGCACTATTCCTCTCACTCATGCCAGTGATGGGGCACTATTCCTTCCACTAATACCAATGATGGGGCACTATTCCTCCCACTAATACCAATGATGGGGCACTATTCCTCCCACTGACACCAAAGTAGGGACACTCTTTACTCCCACTGACACCAGGACATTTTCTATTCCCACTGGCCATAGTCCAGCCCCCTCCCCACCCTCCTAAAAGTTTGAAGGACAGTAAACTGGCCCTTTGTTTAGAAGGTTTGGAGACCCCTGGTGTAAGGGATAGAGTGAGGGAGAGTTAGAACCTCTGCTGGGTTTTTATTACTCTTTTATGGAGAGATCTCCAATTACATCCTTTCTCAGTGACACCACAGGAAGTGAAGAGAAATCTCCGTAAGGGGAACCCCCTGGACAGCACAGAGGGTAGTAAATCCTGGACCTTTAATGGTGCATCTATTATTTTTGCTTTTGTAGCCTTAGTCCGGCCCGTGGTGACCTTCACCCCTCCATGGAGACTTATCATGTCCACAGACTCGGTGACTATAGCATGTGACACCGGTACTCCAACACGGGAGGATGAAACGTTCTACTGGTACAGAGATGAGAAACTGATGGACATCCATCGGCAGAACTTCACCGTCCAATCAGCTTCAGCGGTGTTTAATGGTGGAGACTACCAGTGCCGGACCAGCACCAGTGATATCAGTGACCCCGTCTACCTGCATGTCAGTTACAGTGAGTTATACTTCATATCTACAGCAGACTGACCAACCCGGGGCTCAATGAGTATTCCTGACCACTGTGGGGGAGGGGACATTAGAGTGTCAGCTCCTCTGGTACAGAGACTGATGGGACTGTGGGGGAGGGGACATTAGAGTGTAAGCTCCTCTGGTACAGAGACTGATGGGACTGTGGGGGGAGGGGACATTAGAGTGTAAGCTCCTCTGGTACAGACTGATGTGACTGTGGGGGAGGGGACATTAGAGTGTAAGCTCCTCTGGTACAGAGACTGATGGGACTGTGGGGGGGGGACATTAGAGTGTAAGCTCCTCTGGTACAGAGACTGGGGGGGAGGGGACATTAGAGTGTAAGCTGGTACAGAGACTGTGGGGGAGGGGACATTAGAGTGTAAGCTTTTCTGGTACAGACTGATGGGACTGTGGGGGAGGGGACATTAGAGTGTAAGCTCCTCTGGTACAGAGACTGATGGGACTGTGGGGGAGGGGACATTAGAGTGTAAGCTCCTCTGGTACAGAGACTGATGTGACTGTGGGGGAGGGGACATTAGAGTGTAAGCTCCTCTGGTACAGAGACTGATGGGACTGTGGGGGAGGGGGCATTAGAGCGTAAGCTCCTCTGGTACAGAGACCGATGTGACTGTGGGGGAGGGGACATTAGAGCGTAAGCTCCTCTGGTACAGAGACCGATGTGACTGTGGGGGAGGGGACATTAGAGTGTAAGCTCCTCTGGTACAGAGACCGATGGGACTGCGGGGGAGGGGACATTAGAGTGTAAGCTCCTCTGGTACAGAGACCGATGGGACTGCGGGGAGGGGACATTAGAGCGTAAGCTCCTCTGGTACAGAGACATTGATGTGACTGTGACTGGGGGAGGGGACATTAGAGCGTAAGCTCCTCTGGTACAGAGACCGATGGGACTGCGGGGGAGGGGACATTAGAGCGTAAGCTCCTCTGGTACAGAGACCGATGGGGACTGCGGGGGAGGGGACATTAGAGCGTAAGCTCCTCTGGTACAGAGACCGATGGGACTGCGGGGGAGGGGACATTAGAGTGTAAGCTCCTCTGGTACAGAGACCGATGGGACTGCGGGGGAGGGGACATTAGAGTGTAAGCTCCTCTGGTACAGAGACCGATGGCACTGCGGGGGAGGGGACATTAGAGTGTAAGCTCCTCTGGTACAGAGACCGATGGGACTGCGGGGGAGGGGACATTAGAGCGTAAGCTCCTCTGGTACAGAGACCGATGGGACTGTGGGGGAGGGGACATTAGAGCGTAAGCTCCTCTGGTACAGACCGATGGGACTGCGGGGGAGGAGGACATTAGAGCGTAAGCTCCTCTGGTACAGAGACCGATGGGACTGCGGGGGAGGGGACATTAGAGTGTAAGCTCCTCTGGTACAGACTGATGGGACTGTGGGGGAGGGGACATTAGAGTGTAAGCTCCTCTGGTACAGACTGATGGGACTGGCTCAGTGTTTGAAGTAAAGTCTTGCAGAAGTCTGGTTTTCATTGAATATGATATCATGAATATTATTTTACTATTCCAGCCCTTGTTGTTCTGAAGAAGCCCCCCTACCTTTTATGAAGGGGACCCCCTGACTCTGAGGTGTTATAGCCTCCCGGAATATAACGGGACAAACACAACATTCTACAAGGACGGTGCAGAGATACAATTCTCGGTCAATACCTCGGAGCTCCATATTGATAAAGTAGACAGAAGTGTGAGTGGGACATACAGATGTACGAAGACGGTGGAGTTCGGAGAGTTCCAGAACGTCTCTGCTGAGACCTACGTCTATGTTAGAGGTGACTACAAGATGAACTCCATTCAATGGAGCCTTTGTAATGCTCTTATGAGGGGTTCCCACCATTACTATGCTGAGTTCCCAGGTCTGTACACCGACTGTGCCCATTATGAGGGATTCCCCATCCATCCCTGTGCTGAGTTCCCGGGTCTGTACACCCGCTGTGCCCATTATGAGGGGTTCCCACCATCCCTGTGCTGAGTTCCCGGGTCTGTACACCCGCTGTGCCCATTATGAGGGGTTCCCACCATCCCTGTGCTGAGTTCCCAGCAGGGGCAGACTGACAACTCATGGGGCCCCCAGGCAATAGGGGATCACGGGGCCCCTGTGTCCTTGCCCAAACTCAAAAAAGCCTATGGAAAAGGTACCAGGGGCATCTCATGGGGCCCCCTACTGACCCCGGGCCCTCGGGGAGTGCCCGAGTTTCCAAATGGTCAGTCCGCCCCTGGTTCCCGGATCTGTACACCCGCTGTGCCCATTGTGAGGCGTTCCCACCATCCCTGTCCCAAGTTCCCAGGTCTGTACACTGCTGTGCCCATTATGAGGGGTTCCCACCATCCCTGTCCCAAGTTCCCAGATCTGTACACCGTTGTGCCCATTATGAGGGGTTCCCACCATCCTTTGTGCTGAATTCCCAGGTCTGTACACCCGCTGTGCCCATTATGAGGGGCTCCCAGCATCCCTGTGCCGAGTTCCCGGTCTGTACACCCGCTGTTCCCATTATGAGTAGTTCCCACCATCCCTGTGCTGAGTTCCCAGGTCTGTTCCCCCCACTGTGCCCATTATGAGTAGTTCCCACCATCCTTGTGCTGAGTTCCCAGGTCTGTTCCCCCCACTGTGCCCAATATGAGGAGTTCCCCCATCCTTGTGCTGAGTAATAGGAGGAATTGGGACACACAAAGGTGGGTGGGAACATCCAAAATGCCCAAGTGGACAGAACAGAATCAAGAACTGGCCTATAGATCTTCTTTTGGAACATCCAAGAAGCACCGAGCTCCACCTATAACTAAAGTTTTGGGTTTTTGAGTTTTTAAGTCGGTGTTCCTATTAAATGTCCATTATATGTTTAGCAGGAGATGAGGTGAAGCCCATGGTGACCTTCACACCCAACTGGAAGGTGGTCTTCACCATGGACTCGGTGACTCTGACGTGTAATGTGGGATCTGCTGAACAAGAGAAGGAGACCTTCTACTGGTACAGATCCGGCAATCTCATCAATACGAATCAACAGAACCTCATCATCCAGTCCGCCAACTATAACTATGACAGAAGATACTACCAGTGCCGGACCGGAACCAGCGATCTCAGCGAACCCGTAACACTGAACGTCAATAGAAGTAAGTTCTACGGCTCGGGTATGTGCCGCCATTTTCTTTACCCCAAAACCCATCCAGTCCATTAACACCCTTCAGCTCAATCACCTACTTTTACCTGTGAATTGCGCGGTCAAGCAACCCAAATGAAATTAATACCACTTTTTCACACAAATGGAGCATCTTACGGGGGTATTTGATCACCACTGAAAAATACCGAAAATGTTGAAGAAAAACTTTTTTTTTTAGTTTCCGTTACAAATTTTTGCAAATAAATATTCTTTCTTCATAAATTTAGGCCGAAATTTCGTCTGCTACATGTCTCTGGCAAAAAAAAAAAACACCCAAATCGGTGTATATTATTTAGTCAGTGTGTGAAAGTCTTGCCTGTGGTTGTCAGAGTCTTGCAAGGCCTCATGGGACTTGCAGTTCCTCAACAGTTGGAGGGCCATAGTTTGGAGACCCCGTAGGTCAGGGGTCTCAAACTGGTGGCCCAGGTCAGGGGTCTCAAATTGGTGGCCCTCCAGCTGTTGCAAAACTACAAGTCCCATCATGCCTCTGCCTTTGGGAGTCATGCTTGTAACTGTCAATCTTGCAAGGCCTCATGGGACTTGCAGATCCTCAACACCTGGAGGGCCTTAGTTTGGAGACCCCGTAGGTCAGGGGTCTCAAGCTGATGGCCCTCCAGCTGTTGGCAAACTACAAGTCCCATGAGGCATTGCGAGATTGATAGTTACAAGCATGACTCCCAAAGGCAGAGGCATGATGGGACTTGTAGTTTCGCAACAGCTGGAGGGCCACCATATGAGACCCCTGACCTACAGGGTCTTCAAACTATGGCCCTCCAGGCGTTGAGGAACTGCAAGTCCCATGAGGCCTTGCAAGATTGACAGTTACAAGCATGACTCCCAAAGGCAGAGGCATGATGGGACTTGTAGTTTCGTAACAGCTGGAGGGCCACCAGTTTGAGACCCCTGACCTACGGGGTCTCCAAACTATGGCCCACCAGGTGTTGAGGAACTGCAAGTCCCATAAGGCCTTGAAAACTCTGACAACCACAGGCAAGACACCCAGAGGTATGATGGGACTTGTAGTACTTCAATAGTTGGAGGGCTGTAGTTTGGAGACCCTGTCTATGGGATACAGTATATATCTGAAAATGGATCCATCCTGATGTACTGAAAATAGATCCTCCTGCTGCATGCCCCAGGAGGTGCACCAGGACGCGTGACCACCACAACGTATGGATATGTTGCCGTGCCTATAGAAGCCGGCCCCCAGCAGTACATTTACTGAAGGCGGTTGGCAAGCGGTTAGGAACTGAGGGCCCTGGGAGCTTCATATCTTGTGTAAGCCGCACCTTGATAAATATTGTTGTGGGGTTAGTTCTTCGAGACTCTGGAACCAAATAGATATGAAGGTTGCTCTTCCAATAATAACTAGACTTCTTCAACATTACCTGATATCAGGGGCAGACTCATGGGGCCCCCGGGCAATAGGGGATCATGGGGCCCTGTGTCCTTGCCCAAACTCAAAAAAGCCTATGAAAAAGGTACCAGGGGCATCTCATGGGGCCTCCTACTGACCCCGGGCCCTCAGGCAGTGCCCGAGTTTCCAAATGGTCAGTCCGCCCCTGCCTGATATCATATAAGGGTTTGGACTTCACCCAGCCATGGGCTCCCGTGTAGAAGTCCCCTCTGTGGGTGGAAGGTGTACTCTTTCCTGGAGAACTTCTTACATTAAGACTTTTATCTTTCAGAGGATATCGTACTGCAGAGACCTACCTCCATATACGAGGGAGACCCCCTGACCCTCAGATGTCGGAGCAGATCCTCATTCAAAGTGATCAACACCACGTTTTACAAGGATGACAAGAAGATCAAATTTTCCACCTCCGACACGGAGCTCCATATCCATAAAGTGGACAGAAGAGTCACCGGGACATACAAATGTGTTCAACGACTACAGTCAGAGGTCTCTGGTCAGAATGGAACCCTCGTATCTTACAGAACATTGTCGGATATCGCTTATATAACTGTGACAGGTAAGTCCCCAAAGGGCAACTGCAGATCCAACCGAACAATAACTTCTGTGAAGGAAAAGCAGGTTGAAGGCCTTTGATATTATTCATGGTTGAGATGCAAGTGGTGGTTGACTGTTGTGAAGGTCCCAAAAAAATCAGAGGTTGGAGGAGGTTGGATGCTTCAGTGTGTTTCAGGGTTTTCCTCCTTTGTAAGGATTATAATAAAGTTTAGAATATTGGCCTCACCACTAATGGAGGTGGTGCCAAGCTGTAGGCTGGTGTTTAATTTCATAGGATGCATTCCAAATTCCTCCCATTGACACTAATGATTTTGCACTGTTCCTCCCACTGATACCAATGATGGGGCACTATTCCGTCCTCTGACACCAATGATGGGGCACTATTCTTTCCACTGACACCAATGATGGGGCACTATTCCTCCCACTGATACCAATGATGGGGCACTATTCCTTCCACTGACACCAATGATGGGGCACTATTCCTTCCACTGACACCAATGATGGGGCACTATTCCTTCCACTGACACCAATGACGGGGCACTATTCCTCCCATTGACACCGATGATGGGGCACTATTTCTTCCACTGACACCAATGATGGGGCACTATTCCTCCCATTGACACTATCAATAGGGCACTATTCACCCCACTGACACCAATGATGGGGCACTATTCCTCCCACTGATACCAATGATGAGGCACTATTCCTCCCACTGATACCAATGATGGGTCACTATTCTTCCCACTGACACCAATGATGGGACACTATTCCTCCCACTGACACCAATGATGGGTCACTATTCCTCCCACTGATACCAATGATGGGTCACTATTCTTCCCACTGACACCAATGATGGGGCACTATTCCTCCCACTGACACCAATGATGAGGCACTATTCCCCCCACTGATACCAATGATGGGACACTATTCCTCTCACTGATACCAACAATGGGACACTATTCCTCCCACTGATACCAACGATGGGGCACTATTCCCATCACTGACACCAACAATGGGACACTATTCCTCCCCCACTGATACCAATGATGGGAAACTATTCCTCCCACTGACACCAATGATGGGGCACTATTCATCCTACTGACACCAATGATGGGGCACTATTCCTCCCACTGACACCAATGATGGGGCACTATTCCTTCCACTGATACCAATGATGGGGCACTATTCCTCCCACTGATACCAATGATTGGTCACTATTCCTTCCACTGACACCAATGATGGGTCACTATTCCTTCCACTGACACCAATGATGGGGCACTATTCCTCCCACTGATACCAATGATGGGACACTATTCCTCCCACTGATACCAATGATGGAGCACTATTCCTCCCACTGACTCCAATGATGGGGCACTATTCATCCAACTGATACCAATGATGGGGCACTATTCCTCCCACTGACACCATTGATGGGCACTATTTCTCCCACTGACACCAATGATGGAGCACTATTCCTCCCACTGACACCAATGATGGGGCACTATTCCTCCACTGATACCAATGATGGGGCAGTATTCCTCCCACTGACACCAATGATGGGGCACTATTCATCCCACTGATACCAATGATGGGGCACTATTCCTCCCACTGACACCAATGATGGGGCACTATTCCTCCCACTGACACCAATGATGGGGCGCTATTCCTTCCACTGATACCAATGATGGGACGCTATTCCTCCCACTGACACCAATGATGGGGCACTATTCCTCCCACTGACACCAATGATGGAACAGTATTCCTCCCACTGACACCAATGATGGAACATTATTCCTCCCTTTGATATCAACAATGAGGCGCTATTACTATCCCTAATACCAATGATGAGGCATTGTTTACTCCCACTGACACTAGGACCAGGGGTGGACTGACAACTCATGGGGCCCCTGGGCAATAGGGGATCATGGGGCCCCTGTGTCCTTGGTCACACTCAAAGCACACCCAAAAAAGCCTATAAAAGGTACCAGGGGAATTTCATGGGGCCCCCTACTGACTCAGAGCCCTCGGGCAGTGCCCAAGTGCTCCAGTGGTCAGTCCACCCCTGACCAGGACATTTTCTTCTCCCACTGGCCACAGTCCAACCCGCCTAAACTTTGAAGGACAGTAAACTGGCCCTCTGTTTATAAAGTTTGGAGACCCCTGGTTTAGAATTTTGGATGCCTCTCCACCAATCAAGGCAGAAACAAGCTACATTTCTTATTTAGATCTCCTCCTAAGAAAATTTGTCACCAGCATATAGGTTCGCTCCGGCCCCATCGGTGGAGAGGAAGTCAACATGCTAAACCTTCAATGGAACTGAAGAGAATCTGAAGGCTTGTGCTCAATTTTAATATAATCGATTCCAAAAAACGTTTATTTAGAACATATCAAATGAAAATTAGAAGCTGCTACTTTTCTCCATCGGTAAAGAGACATCCAACGTTCTAAACCTCAACACACACTGTTTAGTATGTGACGAGGTTGGGAATGTGGGTGGAGATGCCTCTCCACCGATGGAGGTTGAGGGAAACCGTAGGCTTATGCTTAGATTTGATAAGATGTATTCCAAAAAACCTTTTGTATTTAGAACTCATTCTATGAAATTATTAATAACAAGTTTCAGCTTTTCTTCACTTCCATTGGTGAAGAATCATCCAACATTCTAAACCTCATCACACACTGTTTAGTATGTGACGAGGTTGGGAATGTTGGTGGAGATGCCTCTCGACCGATGGAAGTCTAGAGAAGCTGTAGGCTTCTGCTCAATTTTCATAAGATGCATTCCAAAAAACATTTCTTAGCTCCTCCTATGGAAATTAACAAGTTTCAGCTTTTCACCACTTCCATTCAACAATCTAAACTTTATCCGTAATGTTCAGTGCGGAATGAGGATTCAAATGTTGGATTCCGCTCCACTAATGGGGGAAGAGAGAGGCTAAAGGCTTCTGCTCAATTTTCATACCATGCGATCAGAAAAACATTTCCTTTTTAGAGCTCATCCAATGAAGATTAGTCACGAGCCTCCAGCTTTTTTACATCTACATTGGTGACTGGGCATCCAATATTCTGTAACTTATTACGCACTGTTTAGGTTTAGAATGTTGACTTCCTCTCCACCATTGGATGAGGAGAGAGGCTGAAGGCTTATGTTCAATTTTCATAGGATGAATTCCAAAAAACGTTTGTTTGGAACTGATACTTTGAAAATGAGTTAAGAGCAACTTCTCTCCACCTCCATTGGTAAAGAGGCACCCAACATTCTAAACCTCATCACACATTGTTTAGTGCATGATAAGGTTCGGAATGTTGGTGGAGATGCCTCTCCACCAATGGAGGTTGAGGGAAACCGTAGGCTTATGCTTTGTTTTGATAAGATGTATTCCAATAAAACGTTTTTTATTTAGAACTCATCCTATGAAGTTAATAACAAGCTTCAACTTCTCTCCACCTCCATTGGTGAAGAGGCTGTCAGGGTCCTGGAAGCCCCTACAGGGCCGCAGAAATACACGCAACAGACCCAGTTTTGGGGCCAAACAGCCTTTATAAGGAGGCTCTTCACTCCCTCAAGTTGCTGGATGATCTCTTGCTCCCCGTGCCCTGTTCCCGGTTCCTGTTTCCTGTGTTATCGTGACCTGTGACTTCCTGTTACCGACTCGGCTTGCTCTTGGACCTGTCTACTCTGCTTAACCCCTGATCTGGCCTCGGCTTCGCTAACAGATACTCTCTCGTGCACTCTTCTGTGTATGACCTCGACTATCCCATCTGCTCTGATTCCCACCTGGTACCTGACCTTGGCTTGAACCGGCTATCCAGTAATCCTCTATTCCCAGAAGGGCTTGCATACCTCGCACAGGTGCTATCTGTCTGCAGACCTCATCTCCGTGCATCAGCTGTGCTCCTGGGTGGACCACCAACAAGCACTCCTACAGGCGACCTGTGCCACTTTGGGCCTGACTCCCGCTGTCCCACTCTCAGGGGAGTCTGGAACTTAGCCGCAAGGGAAGCCCTCTCTCCATTGGCCTCCATCACCAGGTACCTGATAGAGGCATCCAACATTCTAAACCTCATAAAACATTGTTTAGTGCTTGATAAGGTTTGGAATGTGGGTGGAGAAGCCTCTCCACCAATGGAGTTTGAGGGAAACCGTAGGCTTATGCTTAGTTTTGATACGATGTACTCCAAAAAAAACTTTTTTTATTTAGAACTCATCCTATGAAATTAATAATAATACGTTCCAACTGTTCTCCACTTCCATTGGTGAAGAGGCATACAACGTTCTAAACCTCATCACACACTGTTTAGTTTGCAACGAGGTTGGGAATGTTGGTGGAGATGCCTCTCGACCGATGGAGGTCTAGAGAAGCTGAAGACTTATGTTCCCTCCAAAAACGTTTGTTTGGAACTGATACTTTGAAAATTAGTTAAGAGCAACTTCTCTCCACTTCCCTTGGTAAAGAGGCTGTCAGGGTCCTATCCACGGCAGAAGTCCTGGAAGACCGGGCATTTCCGCCAGTACCCTACATGGCCGCAGAAATACACACATCAGGCCCAGTTTTGGTGCCAAACTGCCTTTATAAGGAGGTTCTTCACTCCCTCAACCAGGGGCAGACTGACAACTCATGGGGCCCCCGGGCAATAGGGGTCATGGGGCCCCTGTGTCCTTGCCCAAACTCAAAATAGCCTATGAAAAAGGTACCAGGGGCATCTCATGGGGCCCCCTACTGACCCCGGGCCCTCGGGCAGTGCCCAAGTTTCCAAATGGTCAGTCCGCCCCTGCCCTCAACTTTTCTCCACTTCCATTGGTGTAGAGGCATACAACGTTCTAAACCTCATCACAAACTGTTTAGTCTATGATAAGGTTTGGAATGTTGGTGGAGATGCCTCTCCACCAATGGAGGCCGAGGGAAGCTCTAGGCTTATGCTCCATT